TATATTTATATACTTACAACCGGCCCCTTTGAGTGCAACTATAATGCTAATGTGGCCCGTGATGAAATTGAGTTTGACACCCCTGCTGTAGAGATAAGAAATATTAGTCAGAGTATATCATCATTATTATTGTGAGATTTTCCTGCCTCCAGCCTCCAGCTCCTGAAATGTGATCATTTGCGGCCTTTTCTCTGTTTGACATCTCTTTAAATGGAAAATATTTTAGATGTTGGCCGGTTAAAGAGCTATTTTCTTAGTTTCATAGGAATATGTATATTTTAAGATGTCGCCTTTTTTTCACAATTTTCAAATATTGTAGAGACATGAAGTTTAAACGATGAATAAAGAAAACAACCAGCAAATAATTCCTTAGATGCAGTGTGTCCAAACCCTGAATCTGTAATTCCAAAATCATCTCCTATCTGGGAAATAATAAGGATATATCTTTCTAGGCTTTGATATTGATTTCTTACCCGGGAGCTTTCATCTGGATGAGTGTTTTCTGTCAGTACTGTCGACACAGCAAATGTAAACTCCCTGATTGTTCTCTGCCTTTCATCTCAGGAGCCCCTCAGAGGGAAGTGTACTTCATGGGCCTGATCGACGTCCTCACTCAGTACGACGCCAAGAAGAAAGCCGCTCATGCAGCAAAAACTGTCAAACACGGGGTGAGTGGCACGGGAGAGGAGGAAGAAGGGTTCAAGGTTCAAAGCGTTACGGTCACATGCATTGTAGCTACAGTGTAGTTATGGCAAGAAGAAACAGAGTATAAACACAATAGTGCAAGATTATGTTGCAAGACCAATGTGCAAGTGCAGGAGAAGTCAAATGTATGTAGGATAAAAATACAATAAGCTAAATGTTGCAAGTGTCCAAGTACATGTAGGAGTCTATATGCATGTAAGGTAGAATCAGATAAACAAGAACATAATGTAAAATGAAATACTGTACAGTGGAATAATACTGCTTGTAGGAATACATATATTTGTGAGGCGGATGCTGTCGGGTTATTCACAACTCCAGTGTTTCCCACAGAATTTGATTCTATTTGTGGGGGCACCCCCCCAACGTTCTTGTTGCTCTGTGTTGCGTTGTTAATGAGTGAAACACACCAGAGTTGAGGATCTGTGGGGTTTATTCTCCCAAAAATATAATTTACAATTTAGGCATTTAGCAGACGCCTTATTCCAAAGCGACTTACAATGACCAATCACAGGGCCATTCTCCCTGGAGTAACCGAGGGCTAAGTGCCTTGCTCAAGGGCACACTAGTAGTGGTGTTCCAGGCAGGATTTGAACTCGCAACCTTCCGATCATCAGCCCACCTCACTATCCATTAGACCACCAAAAAAAGAAATAATAATTTTTTTTTTTTTTATGAGTCCCATTTGTGGCGGACGATATTTAATTGTGGCAGCCCGCCACAAATAAATCAATGTATTGGAAACACTGCAACTCTGTTCACAGATGATGTTGATGACCTTTCCCTTTTCTCTCCATCCTCCCTCTCTTTGTTGCAGGCCGGCGCTGAAATCTCCACAGTCCACCCCGAGCAGTACGCCAAAAGATTTCGCGACTTCATCTCCAACATCTTTGCGTAACACTTGGCTCCGAACGCTGCCATCTATTTTACCCTTCGACCAAAAGAAAATAGTACGCACACACAGATCGTTGTTTCTGAGGATCTGAGGCGGGACTACTTAAGTTTGTAGCAACATAATGTACTACTTCTGATGCATATATTTATTTTTAAGATTTAAGATGCAGTTCTTATAGATATTAAGCACTCTTTAACGGTTTAACTCTGGAGCATTAGGGTACACGGAAATGAACTGCTGTTGATCAGTGTTAGACCACGTCAGTGCGAGATCAAATATTTAGTTTTCTTCTTTGTCACTTCTCTCTGGGTACCCAGGCCTGATATAAACTTAAAGTAAGAGTTTGACATGTGAAGATCATAGCCTATTTACTTTTTTTGCCAAAAGTTGAATGAAAAGATTGAAACTGCTTTCATGCTTAAGGTTCCTTGTGTCGTTTTTCACCTCTAGTAGCAGTCAAACCGTCATTTCTCTATGAGTTGGTCACAATTTGACAAATGTGCACCCTGTACACAGTGCCAATGAAACCCACTGCTCCACTGACCTATAGGTGACACCAAACGCAGTTAAAAAGACTGCTAGAAAGGGAACATGGATTTTAACAATGCTGGATTCAAAATACATAAAGACTTTACAAATATTTTTATGAGGAGGGAAAAGTATTACACATTTGCATTTAGGAATGTGTTTTTCACATGACGTAAACAAAACTTTTGTTTGTTCACAAGAAAACTCCACAAGGGACCTTTTTAATGTGAAGCTATTCAAGGATGAGCAGATGCTTAGCTTAGCTTAGCTTAGCTTAGCTTAGCTTAGCATAAAGACTGGAAACGGAGGGAAAGGCTAGCCTGGCTCTGTAGAAAGGTAACGACAGCCTCCATCCAGCACCTCTAAAGAAGCCAGTTAATGTGCACAACATGTCATTTATTTCAAACAAATGAGGAACAACACCTCTTTAAGTGCAAGGAGCTGTTTGTCAGGGTTTGTTTTCTTTAAACAGCCCTGCTAGCTGTTTCCTGTCTTTATGCTAAGCGAAGCAAACCGGCTAACTTTGCCTAAAAAGTGAAACTATTCCTTTTTAATCCTAGAATAATAATGACATGATGATCGGTGTTAAAACCATAATGGTAGTCTATATTCTACAGTTGGAGCATAATATTATTTATCTATTGATGCGGGCCATTTGAATGTTTAGAGTGCCAAATGTGTGGGATCAAAGCTTTATCCTAACAGGATTTGCACCTTGAATACAATTAAATTAACTCTGTTGTGACAGAGCAGAATCGCAATTAAAATGGATCATGTATGATTTTCCTCAAGATATTTACTAAATTTAAAAGAAATGTACAGAACAGCCTTGTAAATTGAAATGTGTGGTATTTAATAGAGAGCACATTAAATCATTTGACTTGTAAACATGTTGGACAGTGCCTCTTGGCTACAGGAGCCTGTTAAGGGCCTGGGGGGGGTTTAGGATTAGCCTTTTTTAAATAAAAATACTTTCATGTGTCGACATCGAAACACTTCCTGAAATGAGCCCATCATTCTGTACGGACTCCTTTATGAACGTGGTGTTGTGGCAAATGTGAATCATTGTAATGGATTTAGACAAAGATAGGAATAGGATCCACTCTGTGTATTGTAACATTTGACATTTAGTGATAACTAGAGTACTGTGTAAAACACTGTGGACATTAACACTACATTTCAGTAGCTTCTGCAGTTAGCCTTAGCACGGTGGTATGATGGATTATTTCTGAATCACTGGCCAGGCTGCGCAGCTCTCTGATTCCTCATCTCCTCGATGATTTCACATGTATTGAAAAATCTGTGTTTTGGACCAAAATATATTTTACAAGGAATTTCTGAAATGTTTTGACTCATTTCCTCTCATTGCACTTTGTTCCCCTTTATGCCACCAGATGGTCAATGTTTGTGCCGGTTTTATGTGACATTTCTCTACAACTATTGCGTATTTGCCTGAACTGCGTTTTTGGGAAGTAGCTAGTTTAAAGAAATATTATTTAACTGCATTTGTGTTATCTGTTTAAACTATTGTAAAATAATTGTTATTAAATAAGTTACTAATCAAAATGTTCATTACCAAAGAGTTATAACTAAATATATCTCATAAAAAGCTTATGAGTAGATTATAACATTTGTTCAGTGGCACTGCTCTGATCCTTTTTCAAGTTATATTGAAAAACGTGCTGAGTCTGAGCTAAACTCCGTGGTTTAACTGTATGTACTTTATGTAATTTATCATGTCTTAAGGATTGTACAGCTTTTAATTCCCAGTTTAAAACCTTGAGAAAAGTTATCTAATTATATTAACATTCATTTGTTGAATTAAAAATAGTGATTATTACATTTTTAACTATAATATGTTTCCTATTACACAAAAAAATCCCTTCCCAACAATGCTGATTACAGCTTATCGCTATCAACAGGTCAAACATTTTAATTAGTCATATTATATATATTTTTACACCTAAAACCTGCACAACTAATAACCAGTAATGTAAGAAATACGCAGATCTTATACTCAAGCAAATGTAGCATAACTAAATTATAAAAAAAGTCTTTTGAAAGTAAAAGTCCTGCTTCAAAATCTTGCTTAACGTATTGGCATCAAAATATATGCTTAATGGCCCATTTCAGAATCACATTAAATTACAGTATTATGATGCATACATGTGGAGCTAACCTTAATTACTTCGGATACTGCAGCTAGATAAATGCACTTCCAATATGACAATGTTTATTTCTAAATTCATTTGAGTTTTGTGTTAACAAATAATCTTAATCTGTACCGTAACCAAAGATGTCAGTTTAAAATACTCAGGTAAAGTACAAAATAGTAAATGTACTTCATTATATCCACCACTGCTAAAAACGTTCCCATTAGCCTGTGTTACTTTGTGTTTTAGTACTTATAGGCAAATATTACGCTATCATGTTGAACTAGGATACACTTGGTATCTGTGGGGTCAGAGGTCAACAGGCTCCCAGCTGCATACATCACTACATGTTGTCCCTGCAGTGTAAGGTATTATTTGTGTAGTTTGCCGGTCAGAATATCATGTTAACTAAACGTATATTGAATTAAAGTTGTTTTAATGAAATCTTAAGTAACATGCTAGAGGTCAGGGACTTTCTTCAGTCTCACTTTTGAGATGTGGTTTCGCTGACCGGTTCCTTCCTGTTTCACCAGAGTGGAGAGAAGGAACGCATTTAGACAATAGGGTCGAGGCAGGACGAGCAGCGAGACAGAAGGAGGTCATCGAGCTGCAAACTGCTGAGCGCAGCAGATAAACAGCCTGAATCACAGCCAACACAAATCCTGCTTTCACTCCGTACAACGCTGCTGACCTCTGACGTGACCTTGGCGAGGACAGCTGCTGACCTCTGCTTAATGCTACATTTCATTAGAGGAAATTAGATAGATTTATATTGTTAATTGTGCAATTTAAGATGAGTTAAACTCTCACACAAATCTGGTGTGTGTGTGTGTGTGTGTGTGTGTGTGTGTGTGTGTGTGTGTGTGTGTGTGTGTGTGTGTGTGTGTGTGTGTGTGTGTGTGTGTGTGTGTGTGTGTGTGTTTCCGTTTCCTTCCTTCCTGGCATTGTTCTCTGCTTACTGGTGTCTATTTTAACCGTATCTGCTGCGCCATCCCTCCCGGCTGCACATATTCACAAACGGGATCATGCAAGGTAATGCATTGAGAAAAATCTGAATAAGTTAATGCAAATTAAAAACTGTTAAATACAAAAAAAAACTCAAGATAGGCACGGCTGTCTTACCCTGAAGTAAATTAGCTGTTTCCGTTTTAGATAACTTTTGGAACCAATTCAATGAGAATGGATCATAGCATGCACCAAAGTAAAAACACTTCTGTGATTCACCAATGTGCCTTTTAAAATGCACGGTAAAATTAACCTTTTCTACGACTTTTACAGGGGCCCTAATGCTCATTTTCAGGGGTCATATTTGTATTTTGTGCCTCTACTTTGACATGTCTTCAGGTTTAATGTTCAAAAAGCTCTGCTCTGATTGGTTAGCTGACTGGCTCTGCTGGGATTTGTCAACTGCTGACATATGTCCTGCCCCCCAACCCATTGTCACGTACAATGGGTTGGAGCGCTAGCCAATAGAAACGCAAGTGTTACATAGTGATGTCACTATGCTCCTGAAGTAAACAAAGGGATGTATGACAGCCACAATGACTGAAGGGAAAATTTAAGCATAGCTGCATCAAATATTTGAGGAATGACAGGGGAAGAACAATTGCTTGCCATTGCACATAGCAAACTGTGTATATGTGTAATCGTAAATATTTTCATTCTACTTCTGCTCAACTCCACAGACCTTAAGCTCTACGTGAAGAAATATCTCCACTATTGAGATAAAAGCAGAGATTTTCAACATGGATCTCCAGCTAAGAGTACTATCAATATGAACACCAAAGTACATATTGAAGCAGACCTGAGTTATGGGTACATTGTGGATAACCACCGACCTAACGTTCTAGTCTTCTTCAAAACTGCTGTCTTTGTTTATTAATCCAAGGATGGCTGTGTCATGTAATACCAATTTGATCTTATGGGATTCAAATTGTTATTTAAATCAAACCATCTGAACAGTTTAGAATGGAAAATCCTGATTTTAAATATAGCTTAAGCTTTCAAATTAATGTAGGGAAGTAAAAGGTTGAGTAATACTCTTGTTATGCACTGACAGGATCACTTTTTAATTCAGTTGTACCTGTACAATGAATAAAGGACTTCAATTAAATAGTGACGAGAAGCAGCAGAAAATGGCAACACCCAAGTTTCTATGTCCTATTTGATTGAGTGTTGAATGTACATTTTGAAATGCATAAAACCTTTGTGGGCGTTCCTGGATTTCTACACCGCTCCCCACTACCAACTGAGGATGTCCTGTCATGTGTGTGTGAGTATGTTAATGAGAAATGGGATGGTAGAAGCTCCTGGCTGCTTGATTGCTCAGATATCTGTTAACATCAGAGCTGGAAAGAGTCATCTGGTGGCTTCACTCAGAAACACAG